TGTTGTAATCCTACTTTTAACTATAAATAGTAAGATTGGGGTTTTATTTCAAGATGCCCATTTTTAACGACCATCATAGATAAAAAAAAAAAAAAAAAAAAACTCTCTATTGTAATTAGCTATGAACAACTAAGCACCTATCTTGATTGAAGAAAGTTAAAGATTTTGGTTAAATCATTATGAGATATTAATAGGTTTTAATTATAAACTTATCTTTTTTTAGTATTTTATGTTTTTCCGTATGATTTGGTTATAATTATGTGATTAATTAATTATAATGCGTGCTAGTTCTTTGATCATTATAATCTATTACTAGCTAAGTATTCAAATCGAGTATAATTACTTGTCTAAATTTGTTTATGGTAGTAACTAGGGGTCAATGATTATAAATACATTTTTGTTCAATCTCTTGAAAAATATAGAACTAGATTACATCATTCTAGCATCTAGGAGGGTGGTTTATAGGGGTGTTCGTTTGATTATTTGGTTCATTTTGAAATATTTTAGATGATTTCGGTTAATTGAATTTTCAAAAAATAAAAATAAAAATCAAACCGAAATGTTATTCTGTTTTTTGGTTTGGTTTCGAAATATTTCGATTTTGATGTTCAATAATTCAATTTTTAGTCGTTTTATTTTATTTCATTTTTTTACAAATGATTGATTTTATTAAAGTTTTTAAAATCTCTATTTAGAGTGAGTTTTTTTTTTTTTTTTTTGCTTTATGGACTACTAGTTAAGAACCTAAGTTACATCAAAAAAAAAGAAAAACAAATGCAGTTGATAAATAAATAAATAATAAATTATTTACTTAGAAGCCTTGAATTTAAGACGTTAGAAAATCTACCAACGTCTTTGTTATTACTTGTAGCAGAGACAAAAAGAGCACGTACAAAGTCTGTAGGAGGAAGGGCATCTAGGATAGAAGGGTTTTTCAATTTAGAGATGCACTAAGTAATCTAACTTAAAAAGAAGTTAGACACACACACACACATAGACATATATATAAATTTTGGTTTTTCGAGTGAACCAATTTGTTGTAAAAAAAATAACCGAAATCGAATCCGAAAATTGAAAATTGTTTTGGTTTGGTTTTTTATTTTAATTTTAAAAAAAACCACACTCGAAATTGATATTTTCGAGTGCGATTCTGTTTGGTTATTCGAGTTGTTACCAAATAATGAACACCCCTAATGGTTTAGCTTCACTTATCTTTCTTTACTTTAATGATATTATTGGATTAAATCTATTTAGCATCTAATAAGTTATTCAATAGCTAGAGAATTAATCAAGTATCATATATTTGGTTAATGAATCACTAAAGAAAGATTAGGAACAACATACATGTTATTGTCCTACGGTGAATATTCATATTAAAGATAGGTTAATAATTGAATCAATGATTAACGACTAAATTAAAAGTGGATACGGAACTTCAACCAAAGCCTTTCTCCATTATTGTTATTTCTAGTTATTTTTTATTGCCTACAATTCACAACAAACATAAACCCTCCTTTAATTCATTTGCACTACGGAATAATTAGACAATAAAAATTGTTAATTAGGGCACTTCCATGTGGGTTCGACCTTTGTTTGCCATATCTACACCCTTATGGTTAGATTCCGTGAAAAAAATAAATAAATATCTAATTTGTTGGTAGTACGACACGCCATCAAAAACCTAATTAATTGAACATTAAAATCACAACTTCTAAGACTTTAATAGGGATGGACGTTATTAATTAATTCAAATCAATCACTTTAGTAATTAGATCGTTTTTTGATATACCGATTATATCGAAAATTAAATCGGATTTAATATTGGATTGACAAGACTCCTAGCATTAGGGTCCGACATCGATTCAATATGATGCCACAAACAAAAATAAAAAAAATCAATTTGACTTAATAAATTTAAACATTGACTTGGAAATAATTTGACAAAAATAAAATCTTTTAAGAGATAAACTATTAGGATTAGACTAGACATGCTACCTTTCTTTGGAAAGGATATCTTTAGGTAATTGATATCTTTCCAAAGTTACCAATTCTTTACCTTAGAATCTCCGAACCGAGTGTCATTTTTAAGTTTTTAGTTTGTTTAATATTAAGTGGTGACTCCAAAATATGATTTAACTCACATCTTCGGTAGATAAATATAATAAATAATGTCAATTCGTTATCTATGTGCTTTGAAAGAAAAGAAGAAAGAAAGAAAGAAGGAGGAGAGGAAAAAAAAACAAAGAAAAAGTTGAGAAGTGTTTGAAATTTAAGATGATAGGTTTTGAGTCTTAGTAATTTTATTTATCCAAGTTTATATTTCAAATGCTTGATTAATTTTTTCAGTTTTACATTATCATATCTATATAATTCCTTATCTTTCCTTAGCCTCATTACAAGCTATTGAAAAGTTCTTACGATTTAAGTTATGTATGTGAATCCCGTAGTAGAGATTATATGATAAACAAGCTTATAGTAGTATATTTTTATAGAATGAATTTGAGAGAAACATTTATCCTAAGCATATGAGAATTGGAGAGTTTATTTTGTGAGAGTCTACCAATTTAGTTTACTATGTTTGAAATAAAAGTTATCGTATTGATTTTTTTTGAGTTGCTAAGAGTGTTGATTCATAGTGTGTCATAGTTCTTGAAAATTTTGATTATTTTCTTGTTTGTAATTTTATAATCTTGATATCATTAAAGAGTCAATATTGAATCTTGATTTAGTTTAATATTTTATCTAAGGACGTGCAAAAACTAAATGTGGAGGAATTTGATAATCAATATTATAAATTATATTCATTCTCCTATATTTAGTCTTTTGGATATGATTTTAGATTTTATATGTTGAATTAAATTCATGTTTTGACTTAAGAGAAGATTGGAGACAAATGCACAAAATTTTATTAATGTGGGTAAAATTCCAATGCCGACGAGATAGAGCTTTAGAGGAAGAAATAAGATTTTTACATCTTTAGAGTTCTAGAACATAACATAAACTTTCTTAATAATTAAAGTGGACATTTAAAACTTTTCGGATCAAGTTTAAATACAAAAATCTATTTTGTTTTTTAATATCAAAGTTGGTTGCAAAGTTAGAATAAAAATTCATATCTCGTGATAGTTTGAAATATTGATTTGTGTTTTCGCCATATCTAAAATTATAAATATTGGATTGAGATAATTTAAACTCCTATAGAAAGAAAATATCTAAGCCTATAACTTTTATGAAAAGCCTTATTCCAAAATACGCTGCTTCCTGATTCTAAATAAGTTTGGAAGTTACAAAACAGAACCGATAGTCCTTTGTAACAACAAATTCTCACACCGAGAGGGACTAATTTATAATTTACTCCATATTTTTATGAAGTTGTGTGTTTTTACATGTTTTTACAAATCTATGCGTTTTCATCATATTTTTACAAAATGGTGTGTTTTCACTCATTTTTGCAGTGCTGAGGTATTAAAATAAAATAAAAAAAGTTAAAAACTAAATTGAATTTTACCAATTAGTTCAAAAAAAAAAAAAAAACTCTGCAGACCCGAATTATTGGTCGTTCATATATATCATTCGTTTCTGGAGCACTAGCATTACTCAGGTAATTATTACATGGAAAAAAGAAAAAAAAAAAAAACGCATGCACATGGCCTTGCTGGAGGAAGTAGATAGCTGTAACTTCAAACGTCCGTTCTCTAATTAAACTAAAAATAAAATCCCCAAACCCGACCCGGTTTGACCAATTGCATTAATTACTGTGTTTTCCTGTGTATATGTTAACGAATGATGATGATTGGGTGTGGTTAAGCGCAAAGAACACCTGTTAAAGAATATTTAATAAATACTAACAGTAGTGCTAAATATTTATTTATTATTATTATTATTTAACATTAAAAATACTTTGAGTGTTAATTCAGATTAAATCTTTTTTTTAGGCAATTTTAAAAATACAACCATCACGTAGATTTAATAAATTATCTATCTAAATGCTGAACTAAAAATTGAAATATAATAAAACAAGAAAAATAATAAACCTTATTAACTATCTTACAAGTACAAATCTCTTGCAGTACTAGCTTTTTAAGAAAATAAAACCATACGCTCTTTCCTATTTCCCAAGCCAATGGACATTTCATAAACTTAAAAAAAATGTTGGTACACTCTCGTTCTATAAAAGCAATGTGCATGTTTTAAGCCAAATGGCCCACATGTATGCATGTGTGTAAGAACCCTTGTCTTCCTTCGCTTCAGGGGTGTCATTGGTATTGTGAGAATTTTTTTTCTTTTCTCTTTTTGCTTTTTTCCCGGTATGTCATGATGGCTTTCAAGAGATTAAATTAACGAGGATCATCCGCTCACCAGTTTTTCTTTATTCGGTGTCTTTTGATTACCGTTGTCCTTTTTGGGAATCTCCTGGTTGTTTAGTGGGTAAAAAAAAAACCTACTACTGTAGAGATAGAGTGAGTACTTTAGTAGTGGTTAGTACCAATATTTTTATTTTGTGAAGACAGAACTTTGGAATGGGTTGACCTAAAATTGCTATCTGTTTGTTTTCTGACCTAAACTATTTGTGTGTCTGATTAAGAAAAACTCTGTGGTTTTCGACAGGGATTTGAGATTACTTTCTTTATTCTTCTTTTTTTTTTTTTAGGTGGGTATATGTTATTGGAGTGGTTTTTAGGTGTTTGTTTGATGGACTTAGAGTTTGAGTAATACATTCTATGTGAGTTTGCTGAATCTTTCTGTAGATTTGCCAGGCATTTCAGACAAGGAGCTACATTTGCGGTCTGGCTGAAAGGCATTAAAGAGGATTTTTTTCAAGGTGGGTTTAGGTTATTTGAGAGTGGTCGACTGCCTACTGGGGGGTTTCTGTTACTCCTTTCAGTGGGATATATAAGGATTAAAGGAAGTCAGCCTCTGGCCCTGAATAAGCTAACCTGTTTTAGGAGATTGCTTTTTTTTTTTTTTTTTGAAGATTTGTTTGCTTCCCTTCTGAAGCAATGGCTTGCATGAAACTGGGATCCAAAAGTGATGCATTTCAAAAACAAGGGCAGGCCTGGTATGTAACCCTCCCTCATCTTCTATTTTAGTTTTTTTTCCCCCTATGATTTCCATTTACTGCCCACCTCGTTATTTTTCTTTCTTTCATTGTCAAAGCAAATTCCACTTAAGCTCAATTACATCTATACATTCTAAGATCTACAGATTTTCTTTCCTTTGTGCCATGCCCCTAATTTGATTTTTCTCTTCTAATAAAATGTTTGGAGAGTTAAAATTTTTAGTTGAGATTTGTTTTGTTGAGTTGCTTTGAGATTTATCCAGTCAATGTATGCACTGTTGTTGCCATTGAACTTAATAACTTGGGTGGGGTGGGGTGAGTTGAGGTAAGGGGAGATTATGGTCTTTGATTTTGAGCCATTGGTTGGACCTGCTAACAGACTATCGGTACTCTTAAACTTGTGTCTAAATCCCTGGTGGTCCATTCCAGTTTCTCCATGATAGTTTCCTTCAGTGTCGGCATTCTTATTAGTTGTTTAACTTGACTATTTGAACAGATAATTAGTTCATCAGGTGCATGTTTTCATCCTGATTTGCACCTTGCCCATTTTAATATAAACCATTGGTAGATCCCCCTTTTCTGATGTGGGTTTTCTTTGTGTGTGTGATGCTCATGTAATGCATTATGCACAAAATACCTGACCTGTTAAGTACTTTAGCTAATGGATCCATAGATTACTGTTGGGATTTAAACCTACTGCGCCATAATTGTAGGTTTGACAACCTTGGGAGACAAATTATAGTCAGGTCATATTGGTGATGGATTCTACTCTTGTACATAGAATGCTTGCTTGCTCCTTTTCATTTTTCTTTTTCTGATAAAGCCTGCTTGCTTGTTCCTTCTGGAATCTATTACTATTAATGGAATTATGAGGCATTGAATCCAAAACCTCCAAACACATGTTGGAATATGAATGTTGGAAGAAACATCTCTAATGGTAGTCTTAATTGTACTGGTTTATTAGATATGGTACTTACAAGACTAACTTTAGAGCATTTTCTAAGTGCTTGTGCTAATGAACTTGTCAGTTGTCCCAACAAACTGCATTTATTTTGCAATGTGGAAGATGAACAGATGTTTGAGAGCTCCTTCAGACTGCTTAAAAATGAATGTTAAACCTGCACAAGTATTAACAAAAAATACTGAGTTATATCATTCTGGCTCTGGTGGTTACAGGCCTCTGGTGTATGGCACTGGCTTTGTTGACAAAGACTGCTCTTAAGCATGATGTTATAAAACATTGATCACATAGGATTGTTTTGTTAGATATCATATTGCATTAAATACGAAAAGAAGCAGAAGAATCTAAAACACATATTTAAGTGTCTGCTTGACTTCTGTTTCTGTAAAAAGGGACCATAGCCTTTTTCTTTTGCAATTACCATTGATGTACTGATCTCTCTATTTGTGCAACTGGCTTGAATATCTCTTATGGTATCCCTGTTTAACCCTAAGTTTGATGTGGAATGAATGTAGGTTCTGCACAACTGGGCTTCCCAGTGATATTGTTGTTGAAGTTGAGGAGATGTCCTTTCATCTTCACAAGGTCGTGTTACTATTTACAATCTTTAATTTAATCAAGCTCTACTTGGATATTCTTGATGAAATTTAATCGATCACGTATAAGTTACTTCACCTGTTAGAAAATAGCATATTGCCTTTTTAACTATATATGGCAGACAGATTATGTGAATAAATGACTAGCACCAATTCTTCTTAAACCAATATTCTGCTTTCCATGTCAATTGAAATTAGACTTCTTCTATATTCTGCTTCCATGTCAATTGAAATTAGACTATTCGCCTTCTCCGAAGTTGCTAGTCACTCTTACCAAGTCCAGCTCTTGTGAGTAATGTTTATTTTAAAAAGCTCTTCACCATCTATTGTTTCTTACACCTTTATATTATAATTTAATGCAGTTTCCTTTGCTCTCTAGAAGTGGGGTTCTGGAAAGTTTGATTGCAGAAGCATCAGAAGGAGGAGATAGAAAATGTGTCATACGTCTCCCTAACATTCCTGGTGGGGCCAAAACATTTGAGCTCGTGGCCAAGTTCTGCTATTGTGTGAAACTTGAACTTACGGCCTTAAATGTTGTGTATCTCCGTTGTGCTTCCGAGCATCTCGAAATGACTGAGGAATATGGGGAGGGAAATCTAATTACACAGACTGAGACATTTTTAAACCAAGTTGTCCTTCGTAATTGGAAAGACTCTCTAAAGGCACTGCAAACATGTGATGATATTCTTCCTCATGCTGAAGAACTTCATATTACCAAGAGGTGCATCGAGTCACTAGCCACAAAGGCTTGTACTGACCCAAATCTCTTTGGTTGGCCGATGATGGAACATGGACCCATGCAGAGCCCTGGGGGAAGTGTCATGTGGAATGGAATAAGCACAGGAGCTAGACCAAAACATTCAAATTCAGATTGGTGGTATGAAGATGTATCAACTTTAAGTTTACCTCTGTATAAGAGGTTGATTTCCAATATGGAATCTCATGGAATCAGACGGGAATTTCTTGCTGGATCCCTTGCCTTCTATGCGAAAAAATACCTACCTGGGCTGAATCGGCGTCAAGGTGCTAATGAAACTACCTCCCGTTTGATGCCCATGACTTTGGGGACTCCACCATCAGAGGAAGAGCAGAAGATTTTACTCGAAGAGATTGATCTATTACTTCCAGTGCAAAAGGGTCTAGTTCCAACCAAGTTTTTGTTTGGTCTTCTTCGGACAGCCATGATTCTAAAAGCAAACCCCTCTTGTTTGACAAACTTGGAAAAGAGAATTGGGATGCAGCTTGATCAAGCAACACTTGAAGATCTTTTGATGCCCAATTTCTCTTATTCCATGGAGACACTTTACAATGTTGACTGTGTGCAGCGGATTCTTGAGCACTTCCTCGCCATGGATCAAATTACAGGTGGATCCTCTCCATGTTCAGTTGATGATGGCCAGTTGATTGGATCACCATCACTGACACCAATCACAACGGTAGCCAAGCTGATTGATGGGTACCTTGCTGAGGTTGCCCCTGATGTTAATTTGAAGCTCCCAAAGTTTCAGGCTCTTGCTGCTGCTGTTCCTGAGTATGCGAGGCCCTTAGATGATGGTCTTTACCGTGCAATAGACATTTATCTAAAGGTACTAAACACCTCAATATTGCATATATCCTGAAAATGTATAGTTTGGATCATTTGTTTCAACTTTCTATTGGTTCATTTTAACATCAAACAAAAGTAAATTGTATATCTTGCATATTAAGCTAGGAAGTAACTAAACCGAAGCATAAGTGGAATCTGTTATTCATATTGCATTTTTTTCTTTTCTGGAGCTTGTTGTGTTGTAGCCATGCAACTACGTCATATTTTCCTTCTTTTTTGGGTTATATTCTATTCCAACACAAAATCTTACCCGCCATTGTTTTTCTTACTTGAAAAAGTATTAATAAAAAATCAGTATATTTTCACTCTACATAATTGATTACTTGATGGTTTTACTGCCAACTCAACCCTTCCAATCTGCTTGCTTAAGTCCCTCTAGTTTCTATGCCTTCAAATTCTGTGAAACAAAACAAGAAGACTTTATTTAAAAACAATCTCTTTTTTACCATATGGACTTGTAATTTTGTAATTGCACCAGTCCCTTTTAACAACCATATGTCATTCCACAATTCAGTCAATTCCTTCATGTTACACTTCCGCAACAAAACAAGCCAGTCATGATTGCTTGAAGTAACCGTAGAAAACACCTCCTTTCAGGTTTTGTTTTCATTTCAGTAAACGATGAGAAGAAAAACTCAAGTCGAACTAAGCTAATCTAGTGTCACCAAACCAAGTCAGACTAAGAATGTTTAATTTTGGTTTAAAGAACTGAGCTAAAAGCCACCTGTTCCATAAGGTTTTCTATATCATGGAATCTTTTTCTTCTCCTGTGTATTGAAGCTAATCTAAACAAGGCTGTGACATCTGAACTGACAACCATTTAGAAGAGGATGAAGAGTTCAGAAAAAGGGGAGAAAAATTAAGAACATTTAGTTGCCCATTCATGCTCAATGCTTTTTCTTTTTTTGGTCAAACTTGCAGTCGCACCCATGGTTGGCAGAGTCTGACAGAGAACAGCTCTGCAGGTTGATTGATTGCCAGAAGCTCTCCTTGGAAGCTTGTACTCATGCTGCGCAGAATGAGAGGCTGCCCCTAAGAATAATAGTCCAAGTTCTCTTCTTCGAGCAGCTTCAATTGAGGACTTCCATTGCTGGTTGCTTTCTGGTTTCTGACAATCTTGATGGATCAAGACAATTGAGAAGTGGGTTTGCCGGGTCTACTGATGGTGGCTGGGCAACAGCTGTCCGAGAGAATCAAGTTTTGAAGGTGGGAATGGATAACATGAGAATGCGGGTTTCTGAGCTTGAGAAGGAGTGTTCTAGCATGAGACATGAGATTGAGAAATTAGGTCGCACCAAGGTTTCTAGCACTTGGGGAAATGTGTCGAAGAAATTTGGATTTAAAATGAAGTCTCAGATGTGTAGTGCACAAGAAGGGTCTGTTAGCAACCAGAATAATGGAAGTGCCAAGATTGAGAAGACTAAGGACAGGCATGCAAAGGACAAGAAAAACTCTTCTTCAGATGGGTAAGAATTGTAAGATCCCATCATACATTTTCGTAATTGCCTGTTTCTTTTCCCTTTATAATCTTGAATCGTTATTAATTTGTACTTTATATTGTGGCTCAGAAACTAAACTGGCATCTCCTTGTTTGTGTCTCATATGCTTATGCTTGTGTTTTTCACTTTGTCAGACTTATCTTGTAATGGAGATGGAAGAGATAGATAGTTCCTGTTGTTTCAGTATTCATGATTTCTCTCTTTTTCCATTCACATCCAATTAACCAACCTTCCTTTCTCAAGCTCCCAGAGACAGATGTTGGTTTGATTATTTTTTTTATTTTTTTATTTTCTGGGATGGTGTCTGATCTATCAGCATGTCATGATACCATCAAATCCTGTGGCTTGGGCTTGGGGTGTGGATCTAGCAGTGCAACAGCTTTGTTTGATCCAACGACTTGCCAGAAAGTATAAAATTGAGCAAAGGTGTGCTGCCCAGTGTCGAGGGGAAGGAAAGTTATATTGTGAAGCCGAAGATATGTTGCACAGGAAAAGTGAAAAGAAAACAAAAGGCAAGAGAAACTGGACCAAAAGCGTTTTCAGAAAAATCATGGGTCATGAATGACTAAATATAGTTTCTGTGCAGGTTCTCATTGTTTTGCCATTTTATTTTAACGATGGTTTGCAATCTTATTTTATGATCTCCAGATGCATGCTTTGAAGTATTATTTGATTAGAGTTTAGTTTCTACTTTCTGTGCAAAATATGAAACAAATCCACTTTAAGTTTGACTATATAGCAGCAGGGTCAGGGTGTGGTTTTGGTGGCATCATCAGAATCATCAGTGCTCACAATATGGTAGGATAGCAGCGGTCTGTTCTTTTTTCTTTTTTCTTTTTTTTTTGGTGTCTCAATTGTTATTGTAGAGGATAGATTACGTGCCGCTATCTTGGCATATTTAGAACAAATTTGAAGATGGTATTTACTGATCATTACAGAAGTTTCAGAGCTTCTCCTGTGTGCGTACTGCATACCTGCATAAATGGTCATGCTGCTGCCCATTTTCTGGCCAACTTGATTAGACTATCAGATGTTGAACGAACTTGTACTCATGGAAGACGTTCCATAAATGGTTTAACTCTCCATCCTACACGATGTTATTTCTTTTCTCAGTGCTTAATGAAATAATATCTGATTACTGAAAAAAAGGGGAAGGCTATATAGCTTGATTTGAACCAAGAATAAAACTTGTATCTAAAGTTAATTTCTCACGAGCATCAAGGAAAAAAAATTGATTCTAGACATGCATTAGAAAGTGAAAGTTAAATTTAAAGTAGTCAAACTGGCCAATGAACAAAAACCGAAAATCATACGTCAATCGTAACACCCTTTACCTCAAGTAGTTACCAGTAACTTGCACAATTTAAAATCAATTGCAAAATAAGGTATTGCACAAAAAGAAAAACCACAAAAAATGATTTAATTCAAATCAATGAAATGCATAATATTGAAATGGTAAATAGGACAATTTATTCTTATGTAATAGTCTTAGTCTCTAATCTATCTTGCGTCTTTAATTGTATTTATTATGTTTCTTAATAGTATTTAAGTCTTCAATCTGTCGTTTTGATCAATTTTTTCGCCTACAAATAAATTTTTTTATCAAAATATCATTGACTAAAGCGTAAATTAATAAAAAAAAAAAATAAACCACTTAAAATTATATGACCTACAGTTCTATTTTTAAAGTTTTTAGATTTTTTATTTTTTATTTTTGTATTTCAACTATGAGCAATTCGATAAACAAAAATTATGTTAGAAAAAAATTAATTGAAAACTCAAATATTATTTAAAGACATAATAAATATAATTAAAAATGCAAGGATAGATTAAAAAGTTAGACTATTATATAAAGATATATTTAACTATATATCTTTATTGAAATTTCAAAAAAAAAAAAAAAAAAAAAACAAGAAACTTGTGGTGTTACGTCCTTTTTTTAAAAAAAAATAGTATTAAAAAAAGTAAAATTGGTTATTGGGTATGTTTGCAATTGTAAAAATTCAAAACAATTTTATTTTGAAGTGTCATGAATTTTATTTTGAAAATTCAAAACAAAATAAATTTTAAAAGCATGCACGAGTAATACCGAACAAGTTTAAAATCAAACAACAAAAAATAAATAATCAAGACATAAAGGAAATGAACTATGCTAATATGCTCTTGTTCTATCACAAAAGAAGAAGAAGAAGAAGAATTAGCGATGGTTTTACGACGATCCAAAAACCATCCGTAAAATGCCGATCACTAAAATTTTACAACGGTTTTGGATCGTCGCTAATTTAGAGATAGAAAAAGCCATCACAAAATTAGAAAAAATTGTCGCACAAAATGATAGTAGGAGTAAGAGAATTTTGTGATGGTAAACAAAACCCTTGCTAAAACCATCGCAATTTTGCGACGGTTTTAGCAAGGGTTTTGGACCGTCGCTACTTTTGTCGCTAAAATATTATTGTTATTTTTTTTTACTCTCATTTTAAATTATCCAATTTCTATTTAAAAGTCTAAAAAATACCCAAAACATAATATTTAAAAATTTCATAATTTTTATTATAAAATTTATTAAAATGTAATAAATATTATTCAATTATTCAATTCTTGAAAAAAGTAGAAAGTTTGTTGTTATTACATGATAGCTAGGAAAGATTGGCGGGATCGTCACTCGAAGGTTGAATGGAATCGTCCGGAGATTGGGTGGAGTCATTGTTAGTGTTAGGCATGACGGATGAACTACCACCTTGCTGAAAATGCTCTGCAGCAACATCTGCTCGCATCTATGTCATCATCATATGTTGTTGTTGAGTATACTCCTTTAACTCATTTGTTGTAGCCAACGGCGTTATAACGAGTACCTTATAGCTCCTAGATCTCCTACGTATTTGCAGCAGTTTGATCCTAATTTTCCTTCCGTTGTGCCTCATCACCAACATGGATCCGCGAAATTGCCAAATTAGAGGCTATATTGAAGTTAGAGTAATAATGAGATACGTGTGACCCAAGTCCATACATCCTCTTCCTCTTACTATCTCCTCCACCAACGACCTTCCTAAAAATCTCATTAATGTTGATGTTGGTTGATGAAGTCCCCCGGTCTATCGGCTAGCAACCTCCTCCTCATTTATTAATCTTTCTACGGTCTCCTGCATAATTGTGAAAGACATATTATTAAACGACTATGTGAAATAACGTTATAATGTAATTAATAACTTACATCAATAACTCTTGACCATTGATCGACAAAGACATATTGATCATCAATCTTTCTTTGATGAGTCCTTAAGAAAATCTCATGAGGATCGGGTTCACGACCCAACACCTCACGCTAAAATAAATAAGCATAAATGTATTAAATATACTCAAATATTTAATTATGTATATATATATATATATATATATATGCTTGTTCTTTATGGCTGATCGACCCTCTCGTATGTCTTGAAGGACCAACTCCTATGCCACCGGTCTCACTCCTACGATTCCATACCACCGGTCTCCATGCATCCCATATGTCCTGTGAGATAAATGTTGGCTTCGGGCTTCTCTTGATATGACAAAGAAAGTCAAAATATCGCTTTTGTGTCGGACTTTTCCACCTTTCTTAACTTTGCTCTCGAAGTTATTATCCCACGTAATCGATTTCGCAAAAAAAAAAAAAAATATTCATTAGTACATTTAATTAAATATTATTATTTGTTATTTAAATATGAGGTAATGTAATAAATTAATTAAATAAATTAATACCTTAAACTCTTCTCGGTAAAAGTCTTTTGTTTTCGGACTCATGTTCTTTCACGTCTATCCGAAAATATGAACATACTCATGGAATATCTTATAGATCGTACGAACGTAAACATCGGAAAAATACAACCTATGAAAAATTAAAAATAGACATTAATTTGACAACTAAATGAATACATAATTATGGTAATAAATAAAAAATATGTTTCATAAAATTAACGTACTCATTGCGACTAACGAGAATGATCGTAACTCGCGGATCGATAGTAGATCTAATAGGTTTCGAAGCCAATGGACAAGGGACATCCTACGATAGGACTTGTTCAAGAACGAACGATTGTCTTGTTATGATGACGAGGGCACTAACAACGAGGAAGAGAAAGATGGGCGGGGACATGAAGGTCCATAATAGGGATATGGCTCAAGCTCGGACATGTCAAGCCTCGAAGGGTATGATGGCACCGAGCAAAGTGGTATGAAGGCATGTCCATGGAGGGTTCCATCCAGACCGGGAAAGGAAGGAGAATGGCATCCATGTCCACGATCACTACCCGAATCGATATCCGAATTGTGACCCTCATTGTATGACATGGGCCACTCGCATCCAAGAACGTCCCTTACCTCGAGGCATTATAACCTACACATTATTAAATTCATTAGTATTAAAATAAAATATTCATTATATAATACTAACATATAATATTCATATTAACATGAAAATTTTCTAATATATTTATTTAACTAAATAAACTTAATTACCAATTGATTTTTTAATTACTAAATATAATTTCAAAAATTATTAATTTTTTAATGACTAATTATTTTTGTAATTACTTAATTCCTTTACTTTATCAACAAGTAAATAAATTTAATTTTAATTAGTAAAATTAATTTATAAAAAATTAATTTTTTAATCACTACTTAATTTTTTAATTAATTAACTCCTTTACTTGGATCAAAAATATATATTATTAATCACAACTATATAAACTTAATTTCGTAATTAACTTTTTAATTACTAAATAAAATTTTGAAATTAATTAATTTTTAAATTACTTAAGCTGCTTCTACCTAATCAACAACTAAATAAACTTAATTACGAATCGATTTTTTAATTACTAAATATAATTTCAAAAATTATTAATTTTTTAATGACTAATTATTTTTGTAATTACTAAAAAATTTAAATATTTCTAATAACTTATTAAAATTTTCTAAAATAATTAACTTTCC